AAGCCTAGCACATAATACTTGTTCTTGATTGAAGAGAGGATGATGGCTGAATTGCAAACCCACAATGTTGAGATCCAATTGGTACATTTCCCTTTGACCTTCCATTTTGCTTCTAAAAGAGCTTCCTACATCAGATTTTACTGCCTTTTAAAGAAAAATGTGTGCAATGTTAATTCATTTCTATTTCTTTTGGAATCACAAGTATTTTTTCCTTATAAAAATAATGTCAATTATAGGAAAATTCAAGAGATACAGAAAAGCAAAAACAAATCATTTTATCTTCTTTGGAATTGATTATAATCCTTAATTTCATAAATTTGTCTTACAGCATTTTATCACCTTAATCATCTTGCTATAAACTATTAGCACCTGCACCTCACTACTGTTTACTGTGGACATTGGACTTTCAAGTTATAAGACTAAAAATAATTTCCTATAGGAACACAGTGACAAATGGTGTTACAACTTCTGGATCATGAGTTTGATCACATGATGTTGTAATGGAACCATGAGCCCAAATAAACTTCTTCTCTTTATATTTTGGAGAGTATGTGATATTGTTGTTTGCAACAGAAAACAGACTAAGAGGGCCAGGTGCAGTGGCTCATGCCTATAATCCCTGTTTCTTAGGAGGCAGAAATGGGGAGGGTTAAGGTTCAAAGCCAGCCTGGGCAGAAAGTTAGTGGCCAACCAAAAGCTAGACATGGTGGTGTGTGACTGTAATCCCAGGTAGCTGAGATAGGTAGGAGGATCATGGTCTAAGGCCAGTCCTGGGCAAAAATGTGACACTCTATCTGAAAAATAACTAAAATTTTTTAAAAACTTGCAGGCATGGCTTAAGTGGTAGAGTAACTGCCTAGCAATCATGACCTCTGAGTTCAAACCCCAGTACAGCCAAATTTTAAAAAAGAATGAAAAAAGACTAAAACACATCCTCCCTCCAATCTGTGCCAGTGCTGTTACACCAGTTATTACTACAATTGCAGATTGCATATGTCTCAAGGACTACAGGCTACCTTACAGTGCCTAAACCTCTGCTTTCCTACTCCTTCCTGAGCTAAGAACCTTTTCTTCTTCACCGGGCATAGGGATGCAGGAGAAAAGTCATAAAACTTCTTTTTGTTTAAGCTGTTAAGTCTCTATTCTCTAGGTAAAATCCAACTCAGATTGCACTTAAGAGATTTAATCAATTACTAGTGTACTGGGAAAGTGGTCATCACTAGGAAAAAAACACTAAGGAAAAAAGTTTTAGTTTTAAACAACTAAATTATAAATGAACTTTTGGATATTAAAGTTCCTAAATTAGAGATGTATATCCTGTTAGGCACTCAGCACTAGTTGAGTAATTGTGGTTTACTTTCTCTGGATTTCTACTGGAATGACAAAGCCTTTTGCTCTTAGCCCTGTCTTAATCGGTTCTACCAACTGTGTTGCTCAGAAGTTAAAGGAGAGTTACTGAGGTGGTGGAATTCTACAACAATCAGAGGAAGCAAGTTTAGACTGGAGAGCATAAGTTAAAGGTGGAAGTGACTGTAGGCTTCAAACTTTAAGAGCTGTCATATAGGTATTTCATGTGTTCTTTATGGCCAGACAAGGTCAAACAAGTAGAAGTGACTAGAAGGCAGACTTTAACTTAAGAGCAGAAAACAACAAACAATTAGAACTGTGCAACACTGGAATGAATTCTCTTGGGAGGTGGTAAGCTCCTTGACACACTAGCTATAAGCAGCAATTGACTGAGGGGAATGTGTAGACATCTAGAACCAGGTAAGTGTGTTACACTAAAAGCCCAACAATCTGGGTAACAACAAATCAAAGGCCAGAAAAAGCACAAAACATCCAGGCCTTAATGAAATACCATATATTTACACCAACATGGCTACAATTCAAAAGACGAACCAAGTTATTGGCAAGAACATAAAGAAGCTGTAATTCATTCACTTTAAATTTACATATAATTTCCTACAACCAACTTTTGGAAAACTATTTGGCATTATATAGCAAAATTGAACACATGCAAACCCATAATTAGCATTTCTACTCTAAGATATTTACCCAATAGAAAATACATGTATATGTATTAGAACACATGACAAAATTTCATAGCAGTATTTAAATAGCCAATAACTGGATATACCTTATGTCCATCAATAGAAGTATGGATAAATGTGTTTCTCATATAGTGAAATTCTACAGAAAAAAATGAGCAAAACCATCGAAGAGACTGAAAAATCTACTGTTAAATTTATATGGAAACACAAGAGGCCACGAATAGCCAAGGCAATACTCAGTCAAAAGAACAATGCAGGAGGTATCACAATACCTGACTTCAAACTATATTACAAAGCAATAATAATAAAAACAGCATGGTACTGGCACAAAAACAGACATGAAGACCAGTGGAACAGAATAGAGGATCCAGATATGAAGCCACACAACTATAAGCAACTTATCTTTGACAAAGGAGCTAAAAATATACGATGGAGAAATAGCAGCCTCTTCAACAAAAACTGCTGGGAAAACTGGTTAGCAGTCTGCAAAAAACTGAAACTAGATCCATGTATATCACCCTATACCAAGATTAACTCAAAATGGATCAAGGATCTTAATATCAGACCCCAAACTCTTAAGTTGATACAAGAAAGAGTAGGAAATACTCTGGAGTTAGTAGGTATAGGTAAGAACTTTCTCAATGAAACCCCAGCAGCACAGCAACTAAGAGATAGCATAGATAAATGGGACCTCATAAAACTAAAAAGCTTCTGTTCATCAAAAGAAATGGTCTCTAAACTGAAGAGAACACCCACAGAGTGGGAGAAAATATTTGCCAACTATACATCAGACAAAGGACTGATAACCAGAATATACAGGGAACTTAAAAAACTAAATTCTCCCAAAACTAATGAACCAATAAAGAAATGGGCAGTGAACTAAACAGAACCTTTCTCAAAAGAAGAAATTCAAATGGCCAGAAAACACATGAAAAAATGCTCACCATCTCTAGCAATAAAGGAAATGCAAATTAAAACCACTAAGATTCCACCTCACCCCTGTTAGAATAGCCATCATCAGCAACACCACCAACAACAGGTGTTGGCGAGGATGCGGGGAAAAAGGAACCCTTACACTGTTGGTGGGAATGTAGACTAGTACAACCACTCTGGAAAAAATTTGGAGGCTACTTAAAAAGATGGACATCGATCTACCATTTGATCCAGCAATACCACTCTTGGGGATATACCCAAAAGACTGTTACTCCAGAGGCACCTGCACATCCATGTTTATTGCGGCACTATTCACAATAGCCAAGTTATGGAAACAGCCAAGATGCCCCAGCACTGACGAATGGATTAAGAAAATGTGGTATCTATACACAATGGAATTTTATGCAGCCATGAAGAAGAACGAAATGTTATCATTCGCTGGTAAATGGATGGAATTGGAGAACATCATTCTGAGTGAGGTTAGCCTGGCTCAAAAGACCAAAAATCGTATGTTCTCCCTCATATGTGGACATTAGATCAAGGGCAAACACAACAAGGGGAATGGACTATGAGCACATGATAAAAGCGAGAGCACACAAGGGAGGGGTGAGGATAGGTAAGACACCTAAAAAACTAGCTAGCATTTGTTGCCCTTAATGCAGAGAAACTAAAGCAGATACCTTAAAGCAACTGAGGCCAATAGGAAAAGGGGACCAGGAACTGGAGAAAAGGTTAGATTAAAAAGAATTAACCTAGAAGGTAACACCCACGCACAGGAAATCAATGTGAGTCAATGCCCTGTATAGCTATCCTTATCTCAACCAGCAAAACCCCTTGTTCCTTCCTATTATTGCTTATACTCTCTCTACAACAAAATTAGAGATAAGGGCAAAATAGTTTCTGCTGGGTATTGAGGGGGGGAGCGGGAGGGGGTGGAGTGGGTGGTAAGGGAGGGGGTGGGGGCAGGGGGGAGAAATAAACCAAGCCTTGTATGCACATATGAATAATAAAAGAAAAATGAAAAAAAAAATGAGCAAACCACTGCTGCACACAACATAGAGTACCTATTCCATGATTCTATTTATGTAAAATGGGCAAAACAGGCAAGAGTAATCTACAATGGTAGAAATTACAATAGTGGTTACCTTGAGTACAATTAATTACTTCATTATTTATTTTCACAAAATTAGGATCATATATATGTTTGTATTCTTGCTGTTTTTCACTTTACATTTTATTTTGAGCATTTCCCCATGTCATTAAATATTCCTTAAAAACATAATTTCGGGCTGGAGGCATGGCTCAAGAGGTAAAATATCTGCCTAGTAAGCACAAAACCCTGAGTTGGAACCCCAGTACTGACAAAAATAAAAAGCAGGAAACCATAATCTTATGGCTGCTTAATATTTCACCATAGTTTAGCCATTTTTTACTAGGCATAGAATCTTTAAAGAGCATAACAAAACCACAAAACATAGGTATAATTGATATTATAAGAATTCCAACCATAATTAGGAAAAAAACTATTGTTGGTTACCTTCCTATATATGGTCTTTAGTGCTGGATTTAGTGATTCCTTGCTTACATTTAGTCTGAAATTCCAAGACTGTCTAATAGGTGAAGGTAATGACATTATTTCTCCACTTTCTTCAAACCAACATTTTCCCTATCAAAAATATTTATAAAATGTAGTAATCAAGTATTTCACTGAAAATAAATGTAATATACTATATGTCACTATCTTGTTAGCTGGTACACTTGCCTCTTCTAGTTTAACCAATCGATTCTCCATTTTGCTGCAGATCTTTTTACATATTTCTGGTTTTCTCTGAACATAAAATCCTTCATCTTCTAAAATGCGTGGCATCATATCTTTTGGCAGTTTATACTGGTTGGCCACTTAATAAAAAAAACTTACATATTAAAATCCAAAATAGAAGAACAAATATAGAGTAGATACTATAATTTTAAAATCAATGCTTTCTTATATATCCAGAATACAAAGAAGCTATAGCCCTATAATAGGAAAAGAATATTACCTGGAGAACTACTTGGTACAAAAATATTTGCCTGCTGTGTTTTGATTTGTTCTTGATCATCTTCACATTCAGCAGCTTTTATTTCAAGTAAATCTGTAAAAATGACTTCCATAAAATCTTCATCTGGGCCTTCAGCAACATTTTGTAAATTATCACCAAGTGAAAAGTGTTTGGAGTGACTATTACTTACTGATCTCTGCTGAATATCAAAAAGAAAAGTAGTTCTACATATTTGTCCCAATAATTAATATGCAGATAAATGAAATGCACTTGAACGTTATGGTGATTTGTCTTTCTGATCCACCTTACCCAGATCAAGTACTACCTAAAACTATTATACATATTTTGCTATAATGACATTTCACTGAACACAGGGAAGCTCATTTAAGGCTTAGTATTATACATTATGATTTTTCTGTAGCCCACTTTTTCAATTCTCCGATGAAATGAAACTATAATTTAGGCTCATCCTGTTCCAGGGAGAATGTTCAGTGTTATTAGATTATGATTTTCAGCTATGAGAACTCACAGTGTAGGACAGGTTCAGAGACATCAGACCATGTGGTACTGGGGTTTAAACTCAGGGCTTAAGGCTTGCTAGAGAGGTGCTCTATCACTTTAAGCAATGTCTCCAGCCCTGCTTGCCATGTTTATTTTTGAGATAGGGTCTTGCTTCTGGCCTGTGTGGCCCTGGCCCATGATCCTCCTCTTTATACTTTCCGCAGCTAGGATAACAGGCACACATCACCACGCCTGGCTTTTTCTGTTGGGATGGGGTCTCACAAACCTTTTGCCTTGGCTGCCCTGGAAAGGCAATCTTCCCAATCTCTGCCCTGTAAGTATCTAGGATTATAGGTATGTCTCACCTGTGCCTGGTGTTTCCCTACTTTTTGTTTTCCTCATTAAGAAACCAGTATTAACTATAGTGATATGGAATATTTTTCTAATAGGTATTTAAGAAAAAAAGAAGATTCAACATAGAAGTCTAGGGCAGATTACAATGAAATTCTGAAATATTGTATTTATAAAAGTTATAAGTAATCTGAATACAGGAATGAAAAAAGATACATTACTAAATACTGACATATATCTTTATATCATGATCACAAATATTAGTCTATTCACAAAAATAAAATCATCAATTCGATGACTTATTTAATTTGAAATCCTACTGAACAAGACAGAGCATGTGTGTACTTTGCAAACAAAAAATATTTCAATTCTCAAAAATATACATGTAGGGTGAATAGTAAAATAAAAAATTAATCAAAGAATTCCTTTGAATAGAGAAAATTACATGGCCTTGATGAACTCTGACAAAATTCCATAACATTTAGGCATCACCCAGGTTCATATCAAATCATCCTATCGTAATTCCCCCCTTCTTATTCCCTTCATGAAATCAAGAAAATATTTTATATCCAGAAATCTCTGTGGTGTCTTTTTCAGAATTCAAACAAGCTATGGCACCAACATCCAGAAGCAAGATTTGAGGGATCTCCACATAGATCTCACTGAAGATTCTGATCACAGAGTGAGGAGACCCTTTGCTTTAGCTGGAGCTCCCATACCAAGCTTCCTCTACAGCACTGTAGGTGTGGGTCAGGGTTTTGAGCTGCCTTCAAGGTCTGTATGGGTGGCTGTATATGTCAGGCTCTCCACTGGTCCACAGCCTCCGATTTATGACCTTACAGGTATATACCCAATCTGTCTCTATTTTTAGCCTAGAATAAGCTATGATCTTAACCAATATAAGATTTATCTGGCCAACTTTTTCTTACTTAGTTTAAGTGCAGCTAATCACTAGCTGTGTGTGTGCTTAGATGGATATAAGCACAGAGAAAGGCGTGAAAAAATGGTAACTGATTTTCTCAGAGCAGTGGAAATTTAGGTGATTATTTTCTTCCTCATGGTTTTCAACATTAAGTTTTTACAACTTAATGCATAAACCGTTTTGCTTTGTTGTTTTTTGAAGTTTTTTTTTTTATTCTTTTGAGACAAGGTCTTGCTATATATCCTGGCCTCAAATTAATATCCTCCTGTCCTTACCTCCTGAGTAGATGGGATTATGTATGTGTACCACCATGACCAGCTCATTACTTTTTTGGTGTGTGTTTTCCACAATCAAAATTTTATGTTAGCTGAGCATAGTGGTGCATACCTAAAATCCCAGCAGTCAGGAAATTGAGACAGCAGTATGTTGAGTATGAGGCCAACTTAAGCAAAGTTATTAAGACTCTATCTCAAAAACCAAATACAAACAAAAAGACTGGTGGTGTAACTCAAGTGGAAGAGCTTGGCAGTCATATATGAGGCCCTGGGTTCAGTCCCTAGTACTTATACTGGAGGAATAAGCAAGTACAGAGCAACAAGGGACTAAGGAATATAAGAGGGACAGGACAGAACTGATAGAACCAAAGTGATCTAGGGTTGGCCTTAGAGGGATGAAGACTGGGGAAGCTGGTGAGGAATAATGAAGATCACAGAGAACAATGTGGGACAAAGGATAGGAAGAAGAAAACACTGGCTCGAGAGTTAACTATACTGCCCAGTTCTGTCAATGCTCAACCCTCCTGCTTCAGCTTTCTTATCTATAGAATAAGACAATAATGCCTGCCTCACAGGTTTTCATGAGGATTTAGTTAACAGAATCCACTTTAAACACTTAGTATATTGTTGAGCATCCAGTAAGTACAAAATAAATGTTAGGAATTATTATGATTAACACCTCAATTTGAAGAGGAAGGTGCAATAATAAAAACTGTATCTCCCATCCAAGTATTTCATTCTTTTCCTTTAGTAAAGAGTTGTTTGTTGAGTTAATGAGAAAGGGGGAGGAAAAAGAACAAATCCAACCTGCTCAGAAGACTGGCTCAGAGCTGACCCTTCTTCACCACTCAGGATGAAAAATGAAAGACCTTTGTCCAACAAGACTTCAGTCTGTGGGTTGAATAATGGTAAATTAGTATTTAGTATTGCAATAAATACATTTTCTGCTTCTCAGTGAAGAAATGATTTTCTGTAAAATGGGAAACAGTAACTGTTATTAATAAGCAAGAATAGCAGAAATGAGTTATTTTTATCAGGTTATATCAGCTTCAAGTTTTATTTTGTTTTAGTGTTCTAGAGACTGCAATACAAATCAGAATAAAATGTAGCCAAAATGTGCATTTCCCCAAATTATATGTCCCATTCTAATCTGAGTATCAGGCATATTACCTAGGCTGGGCGTAGTGGTACATGCCAGTAATCTCAACTATGCAAGAGGTTCAGGGAAAGCCTGGGCACAAGCTGAGCATAGTGGTATACACTAGTACTCCCATGTGAAAGGCAGAGGTAGGAGGATCATGGTCTGAAGCCAACTTTGGGCAAAAAGTGTGAAAATAACTAAAGAAAAATTAACTAAAGCAAAAGGCCTAGGGCTGTGTTAGAGCACTTACCTAGCAAGCATGAGGCTCTGCGTTCAAACCAGTACTGTAAAAAAAAAAAAAAAAAGAAAAACAACAAAAACCCCACAAAACAAAAATAACCCATTGCCTCACAGTTTAACTAAAATGCTGCCCCACATCAAAATTTTCCCCTCCCTGTCTTCCAGTGTCCTTACATACACATGTGTTTACAACACACGTAAGTACTACCTCATCACACAATATTTGGTGGTATATTCTTAGTTATAAACTTGCTGATTAAAACTCCTCATTTTTCCATGCTGTAAAATCTGGGTCATTGCAATATAAATCACATCATTTCTTTCTCATGCACATATATTTAAATGAACTATTTTAACAAAGATTTAAAAAAGGAATCAAGTCAATAATAAAAAATATAAAACATAGTTACTGGGAATTAAGAATTTCAAAATATATAAAATAGAAAAGTATTTATCCTATGTGTATCTACAATTTGTCATGTTAATTTTTTTCTTTATTCATATGTGCATACATTGTTTGGGTCATTCCTCCCCCTTGTCCCCCCACCCCTTCATCTTCCCCCACCCTCCTCGCTTCCAGGCAGAACCTGTTCTGCCCTCTTCTCCAATTTTGTTGAAGAGAAGACATAGCAATAAGACATAGCACTTTTGCTAGTTGAGATAAGGATAGCTATACAGAGAGATTCCTAGTATTGCTTCCATGCACAAGTGTATTACAACCCAAATTGATTCATCTCCACCTGACCTCTTCACTACTTTCCAGTCACCTTCCCATATTGACCTCTGTCACTTTATGGTTACTGTATTAGCTCCTCTGCTGTAGGGACATCAAACACTTTCAAGTTTTGGGTTTCCTACCTATCCCCATACCTCCCATATGTGCTCTCCCCTTAGCATGTGACCCAAGTCCAACAACTTTGCTGCATTTGCCCTAGATCTAAAGTCCGTATATGAGGGAGAACATATGATTTTTGGTCTTCTGAGCCTGGCTAACCTTGCTCAGGATTATGTCCTCCAGTTCCATTCATTTACTTGCAAATAATAAGATTTCATTCTTCTTCATGGCTGAGTAAAATTCCATTGTGTATAAATACATTTTCTTAATCCATTTGTCAATAGTGGGGCATCTTGGCAATTTCCACAACTTGACTATTGTGAATAGTGCTGCAATAAACATAGGTGTGCAGGTGCTTCTGGAGTAACCTGCGTCGCATTCCTTTGGGTATATCCCTAGGAGTGGTACTGCTGGATCATATGACAGATCTATGTTTAGATTTTTAAGAAGCCTCCATATTATTTTCCAAAGTGGTTGTACTAGCTTGCATTCCCACCAGCAGTGTATGAGGGCTCCTTTTTCCCCACATCCTCACCAACACTTGTTGGTGGTGGTGTTTTTGATGATGGCTACTCTAACAGGGGTGAGGTGGAATCTTAGTGTGGTTTTGATTTGCGTTTTCTTTATGGCCAGAGATGGTGAGCATTTTTTCATGTGTTTTTTGGCCATTTGAATTTCTTCTTTTGAGAAAGTTCTGTTTAGCTCAGTTGCTCATTTCTTTACTGGTTCATTGATTTTGGGAGAGTTTAGTTTTTTAAGTTCCCTGTATATTCTGGTTATCAGTCCTTTATCTGATGTATAGCTGGCAAATATTTTCTCCCACTCTGTGGGTGGTCTCTTAAGTTTAGAGCCCATTCTTTTTGTTGTGCAGAAGCTTTTTAATTTTATGTAGTCCAATTTGTCTGTCCTTTCTCTTAGTTGCTGAGCTGCTGGGTTTCTATTGAGGAAGTCCTTGCCTATTCCCTGCTCTTTCCTGTACTAATTCAGAGTTTCAGGTCTGTCATGTTAACTTTAAAAGTTATTCATCTTGCAATAGTGCTGCAGATATGAACTGTCACCAAACAATTTTACTTCGTATCATGTCTGTTCATCTTAAAATCATCTGCTAAAATAATCTATTTCCTGAATGACTATCCTTCCCTAGAAGCTGGCAGGAAATTCTTAGAGGCCAATTTCTCTTTCATTTTACCTCTGTTCTTGATACTCATGCTTGGTAAACTTTTTGTTATTCATAGTTAAATTAAATACAATTTAGGCATGCTTTTATTCCCAGGTTGAATGAGTAACATTACCTATCTATCTATCTATCTACAGACACATATATATAAACATCATTTTTAGTCTGCTTTTATTTTTAAATTTAATTAAAAAATCCTTTTTACTAAGCACCTGAGAATGGCATTGTGGAGCAGATATAAGATGAATTAAATGAAAAAAAAATCAATCTTTGCATATTACAATTTGCAGGATTAAATATTCTATGTACTTGTGGCAGAAGCTACTAGCTGCTATTGTTGTCTTTTTTCCATCTCTAGGTTCTATTTTTAGCTGGATACATACATACTTCTCCCACATTCTATTACTGGAAATGTGTTCAATTTGCAAGTCCTGTCTGATAAAAGATCAACCCTCAATCCTTCAATTCTTTCCTTCTTCCTTCCCTTTGGCTAGCAAATGAAAAAGCAGATCTTGTCACAGACTCAGAGATGAAAACCACATGTTGAACATGGCATAACTCACCCATCATCCTAGACACTGTATCTGTTGTACTAGAGAAAAGTGAAATGTCTATTAATATTAAGACATTTTACTTTTGAGGTTTTTTTGTAATGATTATTTAGTCTATACTCTAAATAACATTTCCCAAAAAGTATGAAATATTTGGACATTTTAAGTTTCAAATACATAATTGCACAGTGAACTTTAGAAGTGAATCTGTAAGTTGGGGATCATGTCTTATATTGTTAGAATAATTAACTGGAAAAACACTGAAGAAAGAAATTAAAAAAGACACTAGAAGATGTAAAGATCTCCCATGTTTATGAACTGGGAGAATTAACATTGTGAAAATGGGTATAATATCAAAAGCAATCTAAAGATTCAATGCAATCCCATGAAAATTTCAATGACATTCTTCACAAAAATAGAAAATACTATTAAAATTCATATGGAAGCACAGAAGCACAGAAGACCCCAAATAGCCAAAGCAAGAACTATGAAAAATAAATTTCTATTGTTTATACATTTTAAAAGAGAACTAAGTTGTAGAGCACTTGCCTAGCAAGGCCTTGATTTCAAACTTCAATACCAGCAAAAAGAAAAGAATAGTTAACTAAGAGGTAATTAAGCTGAGGAGGCTCTAGGGCACTGTGTTCCTATGTAAGCAACTGAAACCCAGTTCAGTGTGATGGGTCATATTCTAGAAAAATGAACTTAAGTTTCAATCTTACCAGGGATTTTAAGGTCACTGCTCCACTTTAACCAAATTGTTCTTTGCCTTGCTTTTGCATGCATTTTTGGTGGAGTCTTAACCATGTGCAGTCTTGAGCTTCCAAATTCATGATGCTGCTCAAATAAACTCTTTACATCTTTAATGCGGTTAAGCTCATTTTTAACGTTATTTTATTGTAATTTCCAGGGACAAAAACATAATAAAAAATAATGTCAAGTAGGAACAGGAAGTAGTTGAAAACGAGGGTTCTTTTTTTGGAATGATTAAATGTCCTAAAACTAGATTGTGGTGTTGACTGCATAATTCTATAGGTTAACTAAAAGTCATCAAATTGTATGCTTAAAATGAGCAAAATTTTGCTGTGCAAGGTATACTTCCATAGAGCTGTTTTTTCTTTAAAAAAAAAAGTATTCACTAAGACAATTCATATAGCTTAGTATCAGTGGGCAGCTAGGTTGAAGATTTTTCACCTTGATCAATCAGAAAAACACAACTTTTGTAAAAATAAATAAATAAATAAAGCATAATTGAACGCATGTCTTCTGTCAAAAATAAATAAAAATCGAGACTTCTCAGTGTTTTCCTTTTTAAATGTGTATATTTCCCTGAGACATCATATATATAATTACTAGGACCAAACCACTTAACTTTTATTTGTATAGGCTTAATGTCATAGAGGTATTATGAGACAAAAGAAAAAAATGGGCAAGAACGTGAAGCTTTTTGGAATTAAGGAGCTGTATTAAGATTGAAGTTCAGCTCTTTCTTGACAAAAAAAGTTTATTATGTTATATATTTCATGTAAAAGAATAAGTCTGAAAACAGAAAAAAAAAAAAACTTAAAGCATTACCTTAGCAGGTTTTAGTTTTCCTCTTACTTTGCCTCTTAGTATCTTTGTTAGACTCTATCTTTTGCATCTAAATTAGGAAAACAACATAATACAGAATTCACAATGCTACGATAAACAGTAATAACAGCAAAATGCCCATTAAATATCTTAATTGCATTCATTTCTTTTTTCTTTTCTATAATATTGTACAAAGGGTTTTGATATTTCTACTCATGCACTTTGATCAAATTTACCCCCTCTATTCCTTCCTTACCCTTCCTTAAAACGATTTTAACAGGGTTCATTAGTCTATATTTATATATGCATATGAAGTACTTTGATCATATTCACCCCTCTTGACCCTCTTCTTTTGCTCTCCCAGTCCCCTACCACTGGCTCCCACCCCCAAATAGTGTTCATTTTACATGCACGTCATTTTTTTTAAAATCTAGATTCTGCATATGAAAGAGAGAATACATAATATTTGTCTTTCTCAGTCTGGCTTATTTTAACATGATGACCTCCAGTTCCATCCATTTTCTTGCAAACAACATAATTTCAGTTTTTTTAAGGAACTTTATAGTAGCTGACTAATTTACTTCCTACCAACATTTTTTTTTCTTCTGCATCCCTGCCAGCATTTGCTGTTTGTTTTCTTGATGACTGCCCATCTGACTGGGATGAAGTGGAATCTCAATGTCATTTCAATTTGCATTTCCGTTATAGCTTAGGATGTTGAATATCTCTTCATACTGTTATTGGCCATTTGTATTCTTTCGATTTTCAACAAAGGTGCCAAAAACATACACTGGAGAAAAGACAGACTCTTCAACAAATGATGTTGGGAAAATTGGCTATCTACATGTAAAGATTGAAACTAGATCCCTATCTCTCACCCTGTACAAAAATCAATTCAAAATGGATAAAGATCCTAATGTAAGACTTGAAACTTTGAAACTATTACAGGAAAACATAGAGAAAATACTTAAAAATATAGGTAACAACTTTCTCAATATCACTCCAATTGCTCAGGAAATAAGAGCAAAAATTAAATGGAATTTGCATCAAATTGCATGCATTTCAGAGCATCATGACAATCATGAAGACTGGCTCATCGCCCCATCAGAGTTAGGAATCTAAGACCAATGGATTTCCCTTTCTCCTTCTCATCTGAAATGAATAATTTTATCTATAGTGAATTTTGCTTCTTTTGAGATTTTTCTACCCTTTGCCACCTTCTTTTGTTACTTCCTAAGCTAATGGCCAGTCTTTCTTTGTAGACAGGCAAAAACTAAAATAAAAAATAAAAAACCTCAGATAAATATTTGCTTTTTTCCTGTTAGAAAAAATAATCCATGAGAACATACATAGTCTACATATCCTTCTCTGTGATATGTACAAATATATAAATATTAAAGCCAGGTTACTTTGGCTTGGTTAAACTGGAAGAAAGGAATCTGAAAGGGAGAGAGATCAATCTCTAGATAGCTTTTTAAGTACTTATGTCAAATTTTGTAAAAATCAATATAGTATGCCTGATTCCTACTTTGCCCAGCTCTTACAGCAAAATTAAAGAGTCTTATAGGGTTTGAAAAAGGCTCCTGCTGTTGTGTGCACTCCAAGCCATATGCTATTTTCCTCTTATCATTGGATGATCCTTTGAAAGGACTGAGAAAGACAGCAATGCAGAGTCTTGAATATAGCAAAAAACTGAGGACCTATTTGGCCAGTTTCTTCTATAGTTTGCTTTTTTCTCTCCCTGACATTTAGTACTTAAATGTTGTACAGGAAGAAATAAACTGGAGGCACAGAGTTAAATCACAATAGGCCATGAGAATCTTTACAGCCTTTATGTGGGTATTTCTTTCTTTTTTGCTGTATTGGGGTTTGAACTCAGGGCTTCATGCCTCCTCTACCACTTGAGCCACTCCACCAGGTCTTTACAGCCTTAGAGAGAGTATTCCTTGATACACTTTAAAATTTACTAGTCAGTCTGTTCATATTGTATTCCCAGATCTTAGAATGGCAGATGACACATAGGTACACAACAAATATTTGCTGAATAAAAAAACAGAGCTCAACCACTAGTTATTCCTCTGCCAAGACTGTGAGCTTCCTAATCATGTTTTGTATCTATGCATCATTAAGATCTAACAGTCTCAAGCATTAGTGAATTCTCCATGTTTGCAGAAAGAAAAAGATGGTGAAGATGGAACTTATCTTTATTACAACCACTGATTTTTTTTCTTTATCTCATCTTTTATTATCTAGGAAATTTATGTTTAAAATCATTGAAGAATTCTATGTTCCCTGCTGAAACTCGATCATAGGAGTAATCATTTACATCTTTAAAAAACAAGAACATCAAAGTTGTGATATACTTATTGAGAACCTTTTGAGACATGCTTGTCTACAACGTTATTGATCTCTTCTGATACCTGCCCCCAAAAAAGTAGGTAGAGTTAACTTATATCATTTTGTCATTTTCATCAGCCTGTTGAAAATCGTCTTCTTTAAAATGTTAATTCATATCCTTCCCTTTTTTTCCTTAAATTTCACCTTTTATTAATTTCTATGAGTTCTCCAAATACAGTAGATTTTTAAATCAATAAATTGCTCTCTGTGATATCAGAAATGGTGTTTTAATGATATAATCCAAGGGTTAATCCTTAAGTGTTCACGTACTACCTAACTCATGCATCTTCCAGGAAAGTCAAATGAGATCAAACATATGAAAATACTTTCAAAATTCAACACAAAAATTACTCTGTAGCATATGATGATGTTGAGTACCCTAGTTTTCTGAAAATTTTCTATATTCTTGCCTATACTATTAAATTTCTTATTTTCTATATCCTTCAGTGGTCATACTTCTCTGCACATACTAAAGTTGAACACATATTGAGGCTTTGGAGAGTGTATGTATTCCGTGGCTTCCCAAATTTGTGTCTCTCGGTTTGACTGCTCAAGTGAGTATCAAAACCACATTTCTTGCTGTCTCCTGGTAACTGTAATCAAATGTCCTACCACTGTTAAAAATTCAGTGTGTTCAGAAAGTGACACCCAACTTAACCATGAAAAGGCAGGCAGCACCAAACCACAGGATAAGAAAAAGCAAGACAGTAGAGAGTAACATCAACTTAGGTACACACAATCAAACCTTCAAACAACTAAGACAACTAAATGGCAGGAATCACCACATACCTATCAGTACTAACACTTAATGTTAATGGACTTAATTCACCCATCAAAAGACACCGTTTGACAAAATGGATTAAAAAAGAAGATCCAACAATTTGTTGCTTACAGGAGACTCATCTCACCGACAGAAATAAGCATATGCTTAGGATGAAAGGCTGGAAGAAGATTTACCAAGCCAATGGCCCCCGAAAACAAGCAGGAGTAGCAATACTTATCTCTGACAAAGTAGACTTCAAACCTACATTGATCAAACGAGATAAAGAAGGACATTCCATACTAATAAAAGGGGAAATAGACCAAAAGGAAATAATAATCATCAATCTGTACGCACCCAATGTCAACGCACCCAATTTCATCAAACATACCCTGAAAGACCTAAAAGCATATATAAAGCCAACACAGTGGTTGTGGGAGACTTTAACACTCCATTATCATCAATAGATAGGTCATCCAAACAAAAACTCAATAAAGAAATCCAAGATCTAAAATATGCAATAGATCAAGTGGACCTAGTAGATGTCTACAGAACATTTCATCCAACCTCTACACAATATACATTCTTCTCAGCAGCCCATGGAACCTTCTCCAAAATAGATCATATCCTAGGGCACAAAGCAAGCCTCAGCAAATATAAGAAAATAGAAATAATACCGTGCATACTATCTGACCACAATGCAGTAAAAGTAGAACTCAACAACAAAAGTAAAGACAAAAAACATGCAAACAGCTGGAAACTAAATAACTCATTACTTAATGAAGAATGGATCATCGATGAAATAAAAGAGGAAATTAAAAAGTTCCTGGAAGTCAATGAAAATGAAAACACAACCTACCGGAACCTATGGGACACAGCTAAGGCAGTCTTGAGAGGAAAGTTTATAGCCATGAGTGCATATATTAAAAAGATGAAAGATCCCAAATCAATGACCTAATGATACATCTCAAACTCCTAGAAAAACAAGAACAAGCAAATCCCAAAACAAATAGAAGGAGAGAAATAATAAAAATAAGAGCTGAAATCAACGAAATAGAAACCAAAAAAACCATACAAAGAATTAATGAAACAAAAAGTTGGTTCTTTGAAAAAATAAACAAGATCGATAGACCCCTGGCAAACCTGACTAAAATGAGGAGAGAAAAAACCCAAATTAGTAGAATCAGGAATGCAAAAGGGGAGATAACAACAAACACCATGGAAGTCCAGGAAATCATCAGAGACTACTTTGAGAACCTATATTCAAATAAATTTGAAAATCTAAAAGAAATGGACAGATTTCTAGATACATATGATCATCCAAAACTGAACCAAGAGGAAATTAATCACCTGAATAGACCTATAACACAAAATGAAATTGAAGCAGCAATCAAGAGTCTCCCCAAAAAGAAAAGTCCAGGACCTGATGGATTCTCTGCTGAATTCTATCAGACCTTTAAAGAAGAACTGATACCAACCCTCCTTAAACTGTTCCATGAAATAGAAAGGGAAGGAAAACTGCCAAACACATTTTATGAAGCCAGTATTACACTTATCCCAAAACCAGGCAAAGACACCTCCAAAAAGGAGAACTATAGGCCAATCTCCTTAATGAACATTGATGCAAAAATCCTCAACAAAATAATGGCAAACCGAATTCAGCAACACATCAAAAAGATTATTCACCACGACCAAGTAGGCTTCATCCCAGGGATGCAGGGGTGGTTCAACATACGAAAATCAATAAACGTAATAAACCACATTAACAGAAGCAAAGACAAAAACCACTTGATCATCTCAATAGATGCAGAAAAAGCCTTTGATAAGATCCAACATCATTTCATGATAAAAGCTCTAAGAAAACTAGGAATAGAAGGAAAGTTCCTCAACATTATAAAAGCTATATATGACAAACCTACAGCCAGCATTATACTTAACGGAGAAAAATTAAAACCATTCCCTCTAAAATCAGGAACCAGACAAGGATGCCCACTATCTCCACTCCTATTCAACATAGTACTGGAATTCCTAGCCAGAGCAATTAGGCAAGAAGAAGGAATAAAAGGAATACAAATAGGTAAAGAAACTGTCAAAATATCCCTATTTGCAGACGACATGATCCTATACCTTAAAGACCCAAAAAACTCTACTCAGAAGCTTCTAGACATCATCAATAGCTATAGCAAGGTAGCAGGATATAAAATCAACATAGAAAAATCATTAGCATTTCTATACACTAACAATGAGCAAACTGGAAAAAGAATGTATGAAAACAATTCCATTTACAATAGCCTCAAAAAAAATCAAATACCTAGGTGTAAACCTAACAAAAGATGTGAAAGACCTCTACAAGGAAAACTATACACTTCTGAAGAAAGAGATTGAGGAAGACTATAGAAAGTGGAGAGATCTCCCATGCTCATGGATTGGTAGAATCAACATAGTAAAAATGTCGATACTCCCAAAAGTAATCTACATGTTTAATGCAATTCCCATCAAAATTCCAATGACATTCATTAAAGAGATTGAAAAATCTACTGTGAAATTTATATGGAAACACAAGAGGCCACGAATAGCCAAGGCAATACTCAGTCAAAAGAACAATGCAGGAGGTATCACAATACCTGACTTCAAACTATATTACAAAGCAATAACAATAAAAACAGCATGGTACTGGCACAAAAACAGACATGAAGACCAGTGGAACAGAATAGAGGACCAGATATGAAGCCACACAACTATAAGCAACTTATCTTTGACAAAGGAGCTAAAAATATACGATGGAGAAATAGCAGCCTCTTCAACAAAAACTGCTGGGAAAACTGGTTAGCAGTCTGCAAAAAACTGAAACTAGATCCATGTATATCACCCTATACCAAGATTAACTCAAAATGGATCAAGGATCTTAATATCAGACCCCAAACTCTTAAGTTGATACAGAAAGAGTAGGAAATACTCTGGAGTTAGTAGGTATAGGTAAGAACTTTCTCAATGAAACCCCAGCAGCACAGCAACTAAGAGATAGCATAGATAAATGGGACCTCATAAAACTAAAAAGCTTCTGTTCATCAAAAGAAATGGTCTCTAAACTGAAGAGAACACCCACAGAGTGGGAGAAAATATTTGCCAACTATACATCAGACAAAGGACTGATAACCAGAATATACAGGGAACTTAAAAAACTAAATTCTCCCAAAACTAATGAACCAATAAAGAAATGGGCAGTGAACTAAACAGAACTTTCTCAAAAGAAGAAATTCAAATGGCCAAAAAACACATGAAAAAATGCTCACCATCTCTAGCAATAAAGGAAATGCAAATTAAAACCACACTAAGATTCCACCTCACCCCTGTTAGAATAGCCATCATCAGCAACACCACCAACAACAGGTGTTGGCGAGGATGCGGGGAAAAAGGAACCCTCTTACACTGTTGGTGGGAATGTAGACTAGTACAACCACTCTGGAAAAAAATTTGGAGGCTACTTAAAAAGCTGGACATCGATCTACCATTTGATCCAGCAATACCACTCTTGGGGATATACCCAAAAGACTGTTACTCCAGAGGCACCTGCACATCCATGTTTATTGCGGCACTATTCACAATAGCCAAGTTATGGAAACAGCCAAGATGCCCCAGCACTGACGAATGGATTAAGAAAATGTGGTATCTATACACAATGGAATTTTATGCAGCCATGAAGAAGAACGAAATGTTATCATTCGCTGGTAAATGGATGGAATTGGAGAACATCATTCTGAGTGAGGTTAGCCTGGCTCAAAAACCAAAAATCGTATGTTCTCCCTCATATGTGGACATTAGATCAAGGGCAAACACAACAAGGGGATTGGACTATGAGCACATGATAAAAGCGAGAGCACACAAGGGAGGCGTGAGGATAGGTAAGACACCTAAAAAACTAGCTAGCATTTGTTGCCCTTAACGCAGAGAAACTAAAGCAGATACCTTAAAGCAACTGAGGCCAATAGGAAAAGGGGACAGGACTAGAGAAAAGGTTAGATCAAAAAGAATTAACCTAGAAGGTAACACCCACGCACAGGAAATCAATGTGAGTCAATGCCCTGTATAGCTATCCGTATCTCAACCAGCAAAAACCCTTGTTCCTTCCTATTATTGCTTATACTCTCTCTACAACAAAATTAGAAATAAGGGCAAAATAGTTTCTGCTGGGTATTGAGGGGGGGGCAGAGGGAGGGGGCGGAGTGGGTGGTAAGGGAGGGGGTGGGGGCAGGGGGGAGAAATGAACCAAGCCTTGTATGCACATATGAATAATAAAAGAAAAATGAAAATAAATAAATAAATAACACACACACACACACACACACACAAAATTCAGAGTGTTGAAACGAACATTTCCAGTTTTTTTAAACCTCAGGTTTTTCTTTCTGTAACTGGGGATTGAACCCAGGGTGTTATGTGTGCTAGGCAGTTGCTCTTCCTCTTGAGCCATGCCCCCAACTCTTTCATGTTTTGTATTTTGTTTTTGAGACAGGGTCTTGCTAACTTCCCAGGCTGGCCTTGAACTCCTGATCTCTCTATCTTTACCTTCCAGGTAGCTGGTAAGCCTCAATTTATTTATTTATTTATTTTATGTGGCACTGGGGTTATGAACTCAGGGCCTCACCCTTGCTAAGCAGGTGCTCTTCCTGTTTGAGCCACTCCACCAGTTCTTTTTTTTCGTGATGGGTTTTTTCAAGATAGGGTTTCACAAACTATTTGTCCAAGGATGGTGCTGAACTGCAATCCTCTTGATCTATGCCTCCTGAATAGCTAGGATTATAGGCATGAGCCACCAGCACCCAGCAAGCCTCAATAGTCTAAAGAAATTATTCTAACAATGTTAAATCCTCTGTAGAGTGATATGGAGTCTGAGTTTGCTTTTATATTTAATTTTAACAAATACAACAACAAAGACTTGAAATAACTGTACATGCTAGTCAAATTACTGTGCAGTTGGAGTAGGAAAAGCAAGAAGACACACATTAACTTTACAAACACATTAAAAACACAGATTTGAGTCAAAAGTCAAAGCAGGGTATACACATGATCATGGTAAAAACATTATGATAGTAAGAGTCCAGTCTACAGACTTTCTGAAAGAACTTCAAAATCCACCAGTATGTCCTGTACCATACTTAAAAATTAATGAATAAAGTCATCACAGACTAAAATGTTCCCTTACTTCTTATTCAATCTTCAATATCTTTCTCAACATTACTAAAAATACCTAATTCTACTCTTGACCAAGGGATAGCAATTCTTAAAGGTATGAGAGAATATCAACTCTGGAATTAAAGATAGTGGTCTACTTTTAATTCCCAATAATTCTGCCCAACATTCCTAGGATTCTGAACACTTTTAATAATAACAATTTCCCATATCCATCTAGAAGGTAGAGATAAAGTATGGATCTTAATTGAAGTTACTCTAAGAGACATGTAGATATTGGTCTTATATATGTTTCTATGACTAGACACAACTTTTTTTTTTAGCAAAGCAGGGAATGGATTGTTTGTTGACTAAAAAATATAATAAATGAATATTTAAGGAGAGTAATTAAATAATTATTACATAACAGTAAATCATCTATAACACTCCTTATATATATCAAAGCAAAATTGTCCCTAAGCTCTGGTATTATTTAATATGTGAATTATATGATTTATACATAGAACCAAATATGCCACCTTTATCAGGACTGTTTTACATTTATAATTAGGCTGTTCACTATAATTAAAATTCATATAAATGACTTTATAACTTATATTGCTAACTTATATAATTTATATGAAACTAGACAATATCCTGAACACAAAGCAATCTTAAACAAAAGAACAAAAGTCGAGCCATCACACTCTTTGATTTCAACATAAACTACAAAGCCACAGTAGTCAAAATGGCAGTGTAGTACCATAAAAACTGACACAGACCAATAGAACAGAATAAAGAGCCCAAAAATAAATCTACACATTTACAATTAATTGAGTTTTGCAAACAATCAAGAATATACAGTCCAAGAATACACAGTGCGGAAAGGACCATACCTTCAATAAGTAGTGCTGGAACAACTGGATACCCACATGCAGAAGAATGAAACTAGACCTTTATTTTATACCATATACAAAAATCAGCTCAAAACAGATTAAAGACATAACTGTAAAAACCTGAAAATATGAAACTACTAGAACAAAACATAAAAGTTTCATTACATTGGTCTGAGCATGATTTTTAAAATATGAACCCTAAAGAGCAGGCAGCAAAAGCAAAAATAAACAAATGGGATTGTATCAAACTGAAAACCTTCTGTATAACAAAGGAATCAAGCAAAAGAGTGAAGAAATAACCTATGGAAAAAGAGAAAATGTTTATAAGTTACATCTTTGATAAGGAGTTAAAAACAGAAATATATATGTAACTTAAAAACTCAATAATAAGACAATAATCCAATTTTTAAGCTGAATAAAAGACACAAATACATTTCTCAAAAGAAGACACACAAAATGGCCAACAGGTGTATAAAAAAATGTTCAACATCACTAATCTTCAGAGAAATGCAAATCAAAACTACAATTACATGTCATTTCATGCCAGTTAGAATGACTATCATAAAAAGATAAAAATAGCAAGTGTTTGAGAGGCTGTAGAAAAAACAGAATTATTTGCATACTGTTGGTAGGAAGGTAAATGAGTACAACCATTGTGGAAAAAACATGAAGTTTCCTCAAAAAATTAAAAATATAGCAACCATATGATCCAGTAATGTCATGACTAAATACATATACAAGGGAAAGGAAATCAGTATGTCAAGAGAGATGTCCAGTACTGTATTTATTGCAACATTCTTCACAATAGCCAAGAATGGAATCAACCTAAGTGTCCACCAACAGAAGAATGGATAAAGAAAATGTGGTATATTTACAGTGGAATACTATTCGACCTTTAAAAAAAAAGGAAATTCTGTCATTTGTGATGACATGGACAAATCTTTATGACATAAACCTTTATGTTAAGTGAAATAAGGCAGAAACAGAAAGACAAATACTGTATGATCTCACTCATTGATGGAATCTAAAAAAGTTGAACTCATGAAAGCAGACAATAGAGAGTTACCCAAGGCTAGAGGAGGATGGTGGTAGAGATTGGACTGGGACAGTGTGGGGAATAGGTTGGAGAGATATTGCCAAAGACAGGAAGAATAAGTTCAACAGAACTGTTGTACAATACAGGGACTAGCGTGAATAACAATACATTGTATTCTTGAAAATTATTAAGTGAAAAGATTTTAAATGTTCTCCCCCCACATACCCACTCAAAAATAAGATGTGAGATAATGCATTGTACAATGTGTACATATTTCAAAACATATTCTACATGACATATAAATTTTTTTCAAATAAAAACTGTCAAAAAATTTTAAAAAGAACATAAAGCAACCTTACTTTGATGAGCTTAATAAAAGACTCAAACACAACTCATGATTTTATTAAGAATTACAGTGAATTGTTTACCTTTTTCCTTAAACTTAGAAAAGGTAAAAAATGAGAAGCATTTCAGTACCATTGTTTGTGAGAGAAAAATCCTGATAGAAAATATAATTAATTTTAATTATCTAGGAGACCGTGAAGCCACATCCCTTGAGTGGCTGAAATTATCAGATGAATTCACATTTGCCTGGAAGGCAGTAGGGGGATAATCTTAAGGACATATGTAAACCTAATTCTGTCCAATACTATTATGCACAAGTTGCATATAAAGTATTTAAGAATGAGAATGTTTGGCAGAAAGCACAAAAGCAAATGAATGCAAATGTAAACTGTCTTCAGGAAAATATACCATTTGATAAAATGTAAGAAACTCACATTATAAAAAATTTTATAAGGCTAGAGGTATGATTCAAGAGGTAGAGCACCTGCCTATCAAGTGTGAAGCCCTGAGTTCAAACCCCAGTACCACCAAATTTTTTTTTAATTCTTATAAACTCCATTCATACTTTACCTTTTTAAAAATATCTTCTTTCGTCTTTGAGACACTTTTCATGATAGCTCTTTGATTTCCACTTTCTAAATAAATAAGAATTATATTATTGAAAGAAGACTATTATACTTGAGATAAAAGTATTATATTTAAAATTTCCTAATTTAACTGAAAACAAAGAATTACAGTATCACCTTTAGCATTTAATATTTAGTATTGGCTCATATTTAGTATTTAATCTAAATTCTGGTTAATGTAATAAGATATACAAGGGCTGGAGGTATGGCTCCAGTAGTAAGAGTGCCTGTTTAGGACTAAGACATGCAAAAGAAGTAATAGGTGTAAGTATTGTGAAGGAAAGACAAAATTATATTTGTAGATAATAGGTTTTCATACATGGAAAACCTAAGAAACTCCATCAAAAATTAGGCATAATTAGAAAGTTGTTAAGTGGCAGAATACAAGAGAATACATGTAAAAGTCAGTATCTTCCGTACATGCTAATAGAAAAATCACTGTGGCAACACTAATTCTCAAAAATTCAAAATACCTAGGAAATACTTCAATTATATGGAAACTCCCTTCCCCCCAAAACTACAAAACTTTACACCAAGAGGGAAAAAAGATCAGATTTTAAAAATAGAGATATTCTACGGAAGCAGGGAGATTAATTAAGAGGCTATTGTAATAGTCCAATAAGAAATTCTAGAGCTCTGAATTAAAAAATGGATGTGGGAATGGAGAATAGGAATGAATATTCATGGATGTTTATGAGACACTCAGGTGAGAGGTTAGGAAGGTATTTTAAAATACTGAATAGATTTGTAGAGAAAAGAATCAAGTGTAAATTAGGTAATTTCTTCTTTAATCAGAAAAAAAAGGTATTTAAGAGACTGGCTTACTGACTCTAAGATAGATTGTTAATACCCTTAAGATTCTTACTACTAACATGTTAAGATTAAGCACAACAGGAATAGAAGAGCAAGAAATGTGAATTTCTAATTTACTTTCCATTCTTCAAGAACTTCTAAAATGAGCTTCAAATCACTACTTGGCTTTTTGATGCCTACATTTGCAAATTTTGTCTCCTAAATTAGAGAAAAGATTAGAAGTAGCACATCCTATAGACTGTAAAATTGTAATTTATTAAATTATAAAACAAGCATTACTGCAGATGAAAATATTTTTCCTATCTTTTGCAGACTTGAGGATGTTCCTAACCTGTTCATTTATCATTGCACTTAAGATTTAAAAGGATAAGTAGAGCTGGGCCTAGCTGCTCATTGCCTGCAATCCCAGCACTCAGGAGGCTGAGGCAGGAAGATCTAGAGTTCAAAGCCAGCCTCAGTTATGTAGTGAGACTGTCTCAAAAAAAAAAATAAACCAGAAAAAGTTTAAAATTAATAAATGGTTATAGACAAAATATTGGATAAAATTGCAGATGGAGATGAATATTGAATCTGCTGCACTGAAATTTCCTCATAGCAATTAAACTTTCTGTGAAAGAAGGCTCTGTTGCTGTCAAATCTTTTCTCTGAAGATTGTGAATTTACAATTCCTGCGGTTAAAATTTTCTCTAAAGAGTAAGGAAATCAACTCTGGGAGTATAAGAATACACAGAATCCTGACTACTTCTCTTAGTTGGAACAGAATGCTGAAGTCCTACTTACCACATACAAATGTCCTCTACAAATCAGCACAGACTTTTTTCAGCACAATTTTCAATCACCTTGATTACTTCTGTCAACAAGCCGTTTGCTTTCAGGAGGGCTAGCAGAATAAAATTACAGAAAAAAAATAACATAGAATGGTCACAAATGCATTTTTACTATCTAGTAATATTTCTTTGGTTAAATGTGAGCTAACAAGAAATATGTTTTCCCTTCACTCCCACCTCCCTCCTTTTTTAAAAAGTGTCAGTGCCATTTCCTTCCTGCTTAGAACTGACCTCAGTCCAAAATCCAAGATTACCTTAATCTCAGTGAATCTATTGTCAGATAATATGAAGAGAGTTCTTTTTAATTTATCTTAACACTATTTATTAAGTCATGCTCTTCTGGAGTTCTTCGATTTGAATTAGAATGCTATGCCAAAAAATTAAAAGTCTAACTCAATGCTATAAAAATTAAGGCAACACACAGCATTTTGCCAAAATAAAAATTTATTAAACATATGACACCAGATACACTTTAGTGGTTGTAAGGTATGGGAAAAATAGAATTTAACAAAAATATTCTACTCTTTGCTAAGTATGATAGAGCAATACTTCACAGCATTCTACAAAAAGCATCATGACTTTCAGGTCTCCCATTACCTGAGAAGTTTAAAAATTAACATCTTTTAGTTAACTGTGATCTTATTTTCCCCGATCAAGAAATTTGGAAAAGTATTCTCTGATTTGTGAATTTATGTCTTTGGAAAGCTCCAAAACTAAGTCACCCACTGCTCGCAAGACCAAGTCCCAAATCATAACCTGCTCAAGAAAGATTTGCATCCACTTCTCTTTTGGGAGGAGGGGGGAGAGAAATGTCTTGGTACATAAAAATTTTAAAAATGAGTTAACAGGTTATAAAAACCATAGTGTATTTTCAAAGTTTGTATCTAATACACATGATGCAATGTAATTATGCTACCCACAAGTTAACTGTAAGATTTATTAAAATGTATTAATTCATAGAGCAGCCACAGCTAAGAGGTTTAGTAAATTGACATGGGCAAGTCCTGTGATGTTTTAGATTCTAACCTGAGGCGGTATCTCTGCATCTGAACCTAGTCTCAATTGGAGAGAAGGTCAATCCAAAGAGACCCCACCCACCCCGCCCTTTTTGTGGGGCTAGGGTTTGAATTCAAAGCAGGACTCTGCGGCTTGAGCTAAACCCCCAGTCCATTTTATTCTGGTTATTTTGGAGATGGAAGTCTTGAGAACTATTTACCCAGGCTGGCCTGGAACCGCGGTCCTACCAGTAGCTAGGATTATGGGCTTGTGCCACCGGAGCCTGCAAAGCCCTTTCTCAAGTGGGGCCATCGTGCCCACTCCCTACCTAAGCCCACTCCCTACCTAAGCCATGCTTGCTATTTTTAATATAAGCCTTCCCGTATGATTAAATTCTTACATTCTCTGCCATCTCCATCCTTTGATTTTTGCAATTTTCCCTCACCAAGAGCATTCCTTGCTTCAGAGCCGGATTCAAATTCTACGTCTTTCAGAAGTGTTTCCTGACTCTGGCCCTCCTTGACCTACAGTCCACCACCCACAGTCCACCTGGCAAGTTCATCTTTCTGCTGGTCCTAATGCGAGCGTGGGGCCCAGGCTCCTTCACCGCATGACCCTACCACGATGTTCACCAACAAGCAATCACTCAGCAAGTAATATCCACGGTGCGGAGCTCCATCCCGAACACAGGAAAGATGATGGAAACCTTACCGTGTAGCACTACATCCACCAGGAGGGAAAGGCGCTTTGCGCGTGCGAAACCAAGGCGGGGGTGCAGCCGGGGGCGGGTTGAAGACTCCTCAACCGCCGGTATCGCGCCTCAGCCCTCGAAGGCCCAGCCCCGAGCATGCGTGGCTTCTCCTCGGCCTTCGGGAATCTCCGGCCACTCTCCTCACGTGACCTCGTCTCTGCCGCGGTGCAGGACGGGAGGTGTGGACGGTAGTCCCCTGTAGCCAAGCATGTGCTCTGTAGTCGTACTGCTGTCCGGTTCTGTGCCCCGAACAGCTACAGAGCCGGCTTGCCCGGGACCTGGGGACGTTCACCTCTCTCGTCATGCCGAGGAACAGCAGCCTCAGTAGGTGATGTTGGCCGGGGTGCTGGCAGTGCCGTCAACAGAGTGACCGCCCCTGGGCATTACGCCCACCGCCCACCCGCTTCCCTGTTGTCTTGGCCTTGATATCAGGTGACGAAGTGTGGCGTCCACCAGCGCTCTCTCAATATACAAGCAGTTCTTTTTATTTCCTGTAAAAATTTTAATATTTTTTGTAGTCTTAAGATAGGGCATGCAGGACGTATTTACTTGGGTAGTGTCATTGCCTAGTAACCCAAATAGCATTTGTTTGCATTTCCCCAGTGCCTCGTCACGTGTTCTGGGAATCTGAGGCAGACATAAAGTCAGGAAACTTGGTAGGGTGGAGTGCAACACAGTGATGCTGTTTATGCTTTCATTCAAACACTGGACAAATGCTTATTGGTCACTTTCTGTGTCAGGTGTATTGATTGATTGCTTAGTGCTGTAATTCTGCAGAAACATGGACTGAACCTAGGGCCTCCAGGTTGCTCTACCACTTGAGCTATGCCCCCAGTGCTGTGTCTTGAAAACCTCATACAGCCTCACTTTTGGGAACAGGGTGCCTCCAGCCAAGGCACTGTGGCTCACGCCTGTAATCCTACAGGCAGAAAATCATGAAGATCACTGTTTGAGGCCAGCCCAGTGAAAAGTTTGAGAGACTTTATTGGTTTTTCAACCAATAAAAGATGGGCATGGTGGTGAGCACCTGTCATCCCAGAAATACTGTAAGAATCCAGGCCTGCCCAAGACCCTACTGGAAAAATAAGCAAAAAAGGGCTGGGATTGTGGCTAAAGTGTTAAAGAGTGCCTGCCAAGCAAGCTTAAGGCCCTGAGTTCAAACCCTAGTACAGCCTAAATAAATAAATAAATAAATAAATAAAAAGATAAAAATGTAATGTTCCTGGTTAGGTAGGCATACTATGGCAGAAGTAGAAATGGGATTGGGAAGTTTCATACTTTAATCTGAAATACCCACTTGCCATTAAATGTGTCCAACATCCAAATTGTCACTCTGAATAAAATCTTTGATGGTTCTCCCATCTTTTTATTTTAAAAACTTTTTACTATTGAGGTTTGATCTCAGGATCTCATGCTTGAAGGCATTCTACCACTTGAGCCATACCTCCATTCCTTTTTTGCTTCAATTATTTTTCAGATAGAATCTCAAACACACACCCCCATCACTGGCCTCAGACTGCAGTCCTTCTACTTAAGCCTCCTGCTTAGCTGAGACAAAAGGCATATGCCACCATGTCTACCTTGTTTGTTGAGGTGGGGTCTCACTAATATCTGTGTGTCTCCCCCCATCTCTGGCCTCAAACTTCTATCCTCCTGTTCTCCACCTCTGGGGTAGCTGGGATTACAGGTATGCACCACCACACCCAGGTAATCTTCATTTTGTAAGGTTCATCTGTTTATGGAATTTAGTAGAGAAAGAAGAAAAGTCAAGAAATGTTTTCCTTAAATAGTGATGTCATGGACTAAATACATGTGCATGTTGCAAATACTGTAGAATTAGTGATGTTCCTTAAGAATACCTAACTTTTGGAACTATCATATAGTAATATGTGTTTTAAAATTATATATATGTATGTATATGAATTCTTTTAAAATTAACCAATAAAGTATTCAAAATTTATTTACTTTATTGCAAATTATTCTTTACAGTCAAGTCTGTTTTTTTGGGGGGGGTTGTAGTAATTATGAAAGTACATTTTAAAACTAAGTTCTTGACACAGAGATTCTTTCACTTAAGAGTTTTTTTGTAGCCATAAAAAAAAAAAACAAAAAAGTATGCAAAAACTACATTTTAGTTACTTTGGCAAGGTACATCAAGAGCTTTTTCAGAATATACTTGTATGGGCTCTGTTTGGCCAGTGGGCAGCCACCCCATGGCGATCAGGGACTCTCTGCTCGACCTTCCACTCCATCCCCTCCTTCCTTTCACGGTTACCATGTCAAACTCCCACGGCAATGATTGTGGTGCACGGCGATTAGAGGCTTCATGGTTACCATGGCAACTCTGGCGTACAGTGATTACAGCATACTGCGATTAGAGGCTTCATGATTACCATGGCAACTCCTGCTGACTATCCTACAGATCCTGACCTATCCTACAGATCCATATTACCCTAAGTTCCTCCCCACCAAACCTCAACCTATCCCGACGCCTCATAATACCTTAAGCTCTTGACTTCACCCAAGCTATAAAAACTGGGCTGCCATTTCTCGGGTGCGACTTCTCCGGCCCTGCTCTTTGGAACGGTGAACCTCCCCTGAGAGCGCACTCTCAATAAAGCTTGCTTTAAGCCTATTTTCTTTATTATTTGGCTCCAATTTGACCTTTCCATCCACATCGACCTAACATTTGGTGCCGAAACTCGGGAGGAAGCGAGCCTCACTCAACTCCAGGCAGTCGGGGCCCTGGGCCAGGCCCTGGCTTGAGGCCCTTCCTCCTCTCCGGATCGACACTCCAGCTCTGGCTTGGGTGAGTCTCCTCCCCCGTTTTGTTTCTCCTCGGGCCCCTGTCCTAGTCGCGGCCACGACAGGATCAGCCCCTCCATTTCTCCTCGCACCTGGGCATTTGGAGAGACGTCTCCCCTGTCCAGGCTGCCTCCTCTGAACCGGGTCTCTTCTTTTAGTGAGGGATGCTTCTCTAAAGGTTGAGACCTCCGACAATTTGGGGGTGGGGTCCTCCCAATCCAAGCCAGACTCAGGGACTCCCTTGTTCTGTCTCCTCTCAAACTTCAAAATTTGGGACTCTCTCCAGACCTCTGCCACAAGCAGCTCATTTTCTACTACACCATGGCATGGCCACAATACACCTTAAACAACAACTCAAAATGGCCTCCACAGGGCACTTTGGATTTTAATATCCTCACTGATCTTGACAATTTTTGCCGTCAAACCCATAGATGGTCTGAGGTCCCATATGTACAGGCCTTCTGGGAACTGTGCTCTCGCCCCTCTCTGTGCCTCCAATGTTCCTCTTCCCAGATCCTTCTAACACCCAATTCTTCTGGGTCCCCTCCCCCATACCCCAACCCTTCTCCTTTATCTGAATCCACTGAATTCCTCACCCCTCCCCCCCCACCGACCACAGCCACCCTCATCGTCACATCCGGCTTCCTCTTCCCATCCCCCGCCCACAGAACCTTCCCCACCCAAGTAGCCATCTCCTTTGGCCTTGCCTCCCACACCCTCTGCTCCACCACTCCCTGCCCTCCTACATCCCCAATAGCCTCCCACACTCACTCACACCGCCCTTCCCCACCCCCTCTCCTTTGTCCTCTCCAAGAGGTGAGGACATGTCTATGTCCAAGTTCATGTTCCTTTCTCCCTCCAGGACCTATCACAGATAGAAAAGCACCTGGGGTTCTTCTCCGCCAACCCCTCTGCTTATGCCAAAGAGTTCTGCTACCTATCTTAGGCCTATGACTTAACTTGGCGTGACATATTCGTCATTATGGCCTCCACCCTCACCCCGTAGGAGCAGGAACACATTAAGGCAGCTGCCCGGCATTATGCCGATCAAACCCACTTAGCTGACCCCACAGTCCCAGTTGGGAAAGACGCAATTCCCAACCACAACCCTAACTGTGACTATCAACCCACAGCTCCAGGACACCACCGGAGAGACATAATGATTCAATGCCTCCTACAGGGCATGGACACAGTGTCCAACAAAATTGTAAATTTTGACAAACTCCGTGAGATAACCCAGGGAGCTGATGAAAGTCTGCCTTTTTCCTTAACTGCCTCCAGGAGGCCCTCACACAATATACCCGATTAGACCCCACCTCCCCTGCTGGGGCAGCAATCCTGGCTGGACATTTTATATCTCAGTCCACACCAGATATTAGAGCTAAACTAAAAAACAGCCAAAGAAGGCCCTCAAACCCCTATACAGGATCTGAAGAAAATGGCATTTAAAGTTTTTAATGCCCAAGAAGAGGCAGCAGAGTCAACCCGCCAAAAATACCTCCAACAGAAGGTGGCCCTCCAAACCCAAGCCTTGGTAGCAGCCCTGAGGCCAGCTGGATTACAGCCCCGAGTCAAAGGAGGAACCCGAAACTTCCCATCAGCCCCTCTGGGGGCATACTTCAAATGTGGCAAGAAAGGCCACTGGGCTCACCAGTGCCTCAACCCGAGACCTCCAACTCAACCCTGCCCAAAATGCAAACAGGTGGGTCACTGGGGATCAGATTGTCCTGGACAGGGCTTACCCCCTGCGGCTCCC